GTAACTCTGGTCCTGTGTTTATTTCTTTGTTTTCGAAGCCTCTAGTTCCTCCAGCCTCGCAGTGCTGCTGCTGAGTCTGGAATAACTAAGTGCAGCCTGACAGCAAGAGAGAGAGAAAGAGAGAGATGTCACTGCAAAGAGAGGGGAGAAAACCCCAAATCAGAAAAAGCCTATTTCACTATCCACGGATGAGAGAGCGAGCGAGAGAGATTAGACAGAAAGGGAGGATGAAAGAGAGAGAGAGAGAGCGCAGGAAATTTGAATTTGATGTACAAAGTGCAACCAACTTCTAAGACTGAACTTTGGAGGTGTGTCTGCAGATTTCTTAGAGAAACTGAAGTTGAGTCTCCTGAAAAGAATGGAAGCTGTAATGAAGGTAAAGAGTGGCCACACTAAATATTGAACAATGTATTATCAAGTTTAGTTGTTTAAGGCTTTCCTGTAAAATTAGTTTTTCTTGACTTTGAAAAATGAATAACTTGTACATAATGGGAAATATGACGGGAAATTAAATAAAGAAGGGTGGTCTCTGACTTGGTTGATCGTCTACATTTGGAGGAGCCTCATGCCTGCTTTTGTTGCTGAGTTTACAGTAGCTAGGTTCAGGCTGAGAGAGAGAGAGAGAGAGATGTCGCTGCAAAGAGAGGGGAGAAAACCCCCTGAGTCAGAAAAAAGCCCCTTTCAATATCCGCGAGGGGGAGAGAGCAAGAGATCAGACAGAAAACGAGAGAGATCAGAAAGAGAGAGAGAGAGAAAGAGAGAGCAGGAAATTTGAATTTGAAAAAGGAAGGAGATTCCCATGTGCCTGGCAGCGCTGCTGACGCTGGCACAGAGAGAGAGAATGAAATAGAGAGAGAGAGAGATTTGTCAGGCTTGCCCCGTGGCAGGCAGGCTTGGCTCGTTGTGCAGACTCATTGAAATTCCCCCTACTGCAGTGCGACTGCAGCCAGCCAGTCACAAAGGACAGACGCAGCGACCCACAATGCCGCTGACTCACTCAGCAAGTATTGTTGTGCGGGACAGTGAGCGTGCAGTCCTGGGGATGGATGGATAAGCTCAGAGAGAGAGAGAGAGAACGATGGATGATGGCTGTCTGCCAGAACAGTGCCCAGAACATTACTCTGTCTCTCTCACATAACTGCTGACGAAGAGAGAAAGAGAGACAGAGCGAGAGAGGCTCGACCACACTTAAGTTTCATCCAGACCTTTAGGGCCAAATCTTCAATTACAAAACATACTGTAAAGCCCTAATAACCTCCAGCCTCACTCTGATTTAGCCACACCGACCAATCGGCGTGGATGGTATGTCCCGACAGCCGATACATCACTAATTATTATTATGTGATATTTCAATTACAATAGTATAATTCATAAATGACAAAATAATTATTTAATTTTATTTGAATATTTGACATATTCAAGTATCCCTAAGAGTTAATGGACAGATCTGTGGTTAAACGTGGGGAAGAAGGTGGGGAAAAAAAGCTTTGCTTGATATTAACATTGTATAACTGTACATCATGATATTTTTGTAGTTTTTTACTCATAGTACACAAACAGAGCAAACCAGTGCTAGCAGGCAGTAGCGTGAAAGAAAACATTTATTTTATATATATATATATATATATATATATATATATATATATATATATATATTATATATATATATATATGATTTATTATTCAAAAATAGCTAAGGGAAATGTTTTGCTAACTGCGCTTGAGTAGCGGAGGCTGCTCCCTCAGATGAGCTAAGGCGCTAGTGCTAACTGGTGCAGTGGTAGATGCCGATAACGCATACTTAAATACTTTTCTACTTAAAATATTCTCTCCTAATGATGTGGTAATATGTTTGTCGAGATAACACTGACAAAAGAGAAATCTTTTCATTGTTTTTAGTACTAGCTAGCGCAAGCTGGAGTAGTTAGTCTAGCGCAGGGGTCGGGAACATGCGGCTCTTTTACTGCCCTGTTGCGGCTCCGCAGCAGAATTAAATTTGTAGGTAAAAATTAAATAATCCTCCTTTACAGTAAAATAAAGCTTTGCTGATCATTCAACACAGTTTAACAGTAAATGGTCTTAAACACTGGAGTTAATGTAGAACTGCTAATTCACCCTTTTACCCTGAAGGTTGGCGCGCAGACTGTTGGTCACCCAAGCAACACAGATAAGAATCTGGCCTAACTAGTAGATAACAAAAAGGCAAAGAGAAAGATTTAAATTGAACATCGATAATTTGGAGACGAATGGACTTCTTTGCAGTTATAATCACTCCGGCTGGATTCCTGATACGTTTAATCTGCAACGAGACACTAAAAGTTGCGAAGCTGTAGACAGCTTCTCGTTTGCCAGCGTCTTCTTCGAATTGTCCTATTCTACCTTAAATGGTGCAGCAGTTACATTCTGGTGCCTCAAGTACCATTTAAGGTGGAACGGGAAAATTCGAACAAGAAGCTGGCGAATGAGAAGCGACTTCAGCCTCATAAAAAGTCAAACATAGAGAGACTTTTACAAGAGACTGTTGTACTTTTGAGGAAAGGTTTCCTGCTGGAGATGCGAGAAAAGCGGCTATAGCTGAGCTAAAGCTTACAGCAAAGTAAATCTATGTTTTCATTTATATTGTGTTTTTTATCCTATACTAGTACACTAACACACACTGAGACATATTTACAGCCAAGATGGTAAAATGGACGTAAAATGTTGCGGCTCCCAAGGTGGTTTGATTTTTGTTGAAAGGACAAAATGACTCTTCTTAACATTTGGGTTGCAACTCCTGGGCTAGCTTTACAAGGGAACGTCACGGTCTAGGTCAGACTGCATCATAAAAAACGAGACTTCCGTGCCCTCAAGTTTAAGTGTTCTCAAGCAGGATAAAGGGGGAATAAATGAAACAGCAGGGGAGGAAAGGGGAACATAACTAAAGTTAGATTTAGGAGAACTTCCCCAGCAAACGAAAGAAATGCAAATTCAATTACTACCCTAACTTCCTAACTAAACTAACAAAAATAGCCCTTTCTCCCTGGTAGAGATTATATACAAGAGTTACATCTCTGATCAGCCCCATCAGCTCTGTGTTTACAGTGTACTTCAATGAAAATGCTTTATCAGCACATCATAATCAACACATTACAAAGCAACAATAAGCTGTACACTGATGAATCCAAACCCTCTTGATACCAGGGGACCCAGTCTGTTGTCTGGAGAAGTGAAGTTTATTTTGTTGCGCATGCAGGTACCAGATACCCAGCCAGCCCATAAGACATTGGACTGACACAGTTTTATAGCTGGACTGATGCCAAGATTAGACCCAGCTTATACAGGACAAGTAACAGGTCTGACAAACATGACCATGTAGGGGTAAACACAAAATAGGCAGCCTAAAATACAACTTCAGCATATAGAATATATAACACAGCACATTTCACATGTAAGCTCTTGCACAGACATAGATCTCTAACCTAAGTTCTTTCAACAGCTGGTCAGGAAACCTGGAACCACGTGAGAAGCAAGGCACCGCCACTTCCTCTTGGTGGTGACCTAGTGCAGCTCACCTCACAGTGCTGCAAATCAATATAGAAGACAGACACTACACAGAATCCTTAGCAGTGCACATTTGGCAGTGCACTCATGAAAGCATTTGCATTTTGTTGTAACAAAATATGATATACTTACTTAATCTTATACTTAATTAATCTTACTTACTTACTTAATCACAGACACGCTGACACAGGACTTCCCTGTATTGTTAGCCTTGATGATTATATGTGCTTATAATGCCAACATGTGTGTAATGACGCCTGCTTAAGATGAGCTAATGGGCTAATGCTAATGCTACTGGAGCAGATGGTGATGCCATCTACATGAGATTTTTCCTTTTCAGCAGATGATGTGCCAACATGCTAGTTTGACACGTAATACTGTAATAATACTAAGAGCAGAAAAATATGTTTTCATTGTTTTTTGGTTCAAACCAGCACTGGCTAGTTAGCATAGTTACAGCCGCACTGCCTCTGCAACCACATCCTTAACAGCGCATCTTTGCCATATGCTCATGTCAAGGCACTCATGCTTTGTAGGGGCAAAGTGTTGTATAATATGCTTTATTAATCACAAATTCGAGCAGGACTGTCACACTGTAAAGCCCTGTTAAACTGTAATGCCATTTCACTGAATTGTTGGCCTGTCTGTGTATTTTTTTCCACTGACTTTCTATGATGCAGCATAATAAATACCCAAATAGTGATTTCGGTATTCAAATACAGGCACGGATTAAGTTTAACCGAGTATCTGTGCACTTGCCTGTTTGATACCCTATTTTTGGCGTTTCCTGATGCTGATAGCAGAATTACACTTTGGAATTAATGTTTAGCGATGAATGCGCTAAGGACATTCAACCCCATTAATCTGGTTTGGTCAGTGAAGAAAGGAAGCACACAGGTTTGCACAGTTTATTAGTTTTAAATGTTAATGTATTTTTGGTCCTATTAATACTTTATTAATCCACTCACAACAGAAATTGGTCATTTTGCTGTCTAACCATTCTCCGCCCAGTCTGGGAGGAGCACCTGGGTCAGTTGGGGGGGGTTAAGTGCCTTGCCCAAGGGCATGACCAGAGGTATGCAGTCATTCCTGGGATTTGATGCCCTGACCTTCTGGTTGCTGGCTCACCTTTCTTACCCCTAGGTCCTGACCATTCTCAGACCTGTTTATGTGTGTGGATGAATCAGGGCATCCAAAAATGTACCTAATTTCAGTCAATGTAATGCAGAATCTTTAGCCATGTTAGATCAAGGGTTCGCCAGTGTGTTTGTAAAGTATCAGAAGGTATATCCTAGTCCTTTTGTGCAGCCCTAGTGGTCAGTGACAAATAAAGATAACAAAGAGAAGCAGGGTGAGAGAGAGCAGGATAGAGAGAGCGGGAGAGTGAGAGAGAGCAGCTGATTGTGTTTGTACATGCCGTAGAGCTCCTGGCTGACTGTTGCTCTCTCTTTCTCCTGCAGCTGAATGGCAGTGGTCAGGTGAAGGTCCCCCCTCACTACATCTCCTCTCAGATGCTGGCCCCTCCGCCTCCCCCGGCCCTGCCCCGACTGACGTTGCCCCCTGACTCCAAATCCAGCACCACCTCTGCAGACGCAGCCTCCAGCTCGCCCACCTCCCCCAGTAAGTGGGTCCCTATGACACCCGTTTATCCAGCCGTCTGTCAGTATGTCCATCTCCCTGCCCTGGCCAGCCTTATAGGGCTTTGGCTCAGAGATGTTTGTCAGGCTTTCCCCCATTGGCAGTCAGTCTGTGACTGTTCTGCAGACTTACTCTAGTGCCTAACGCTAAGCATCGTTCTCAGGATTTCTCAAAATATTCTTGTACAATGACAATGAAATTCCTTTCAATTCCATCCCAACTTTTGACCCCTTCAACAGCAGTCAACAGTCTAAGTTAAGAGCTTCCAGAGAACCTTAACAGAGTTAGAGGAACAGGCCTAGCTAAGCAGCTAGCTGTGCTTTATAGGCCCGCCGACCCAGCATCCTCTGACACAGCCGACGATCAGCTTTACAATGTTTAGAAAAAGAGCTGATAAATCAAATGAACCAGTGTGAATTAGTGGAGAACATTCTAGAACTGTGTGAAGAACATTGTAGAACAGTATGAACGGGGAGAACATTCTAAAAAAATTCTTATACAGTGTGAATGGGCAGAGAACATTCTAGAACAGTGCAAAGAGCACTCAAGAACAGAGTGAATGAGGCGAGAACCCTTCTAGAACAGCATGAATGGGGGAGAGCATTCTAGAACTAAGCGTATGAGGTGAGAACGTTCTAGAACAGTGGGGATGATTAGAGAACATTCTGGAACACCATTAATGGGAGAGGAGAACATTCTAGAGCACTACAAATAGGGGAGAATGTTCCAGAACAGTGCGAGTGATGGGAGAACATTGTAGAAGAGTGTGAATGGGAGAGTACACTCTAGAACAGTGTAAATGATGGGAGAACCTTCTAGAACAGCATGAATGGGGAGCACATTCTAGAACAGTGTAAATGACGGGAGAATGAGGAAGGACATTCTAGAACAGTGTGGATGATGCGAGAACATTCTAGAGCACTATGAATGGGGGAGAACATTCTGAGAACAGTGTAAATGATGGGAGAACATTGTAGAAGAGTGTGAATGAGGGGAACATTCTAGAACAGCCTGAATGGTGGGAGCATTTTAGAACAGTGTGAATGGACAGGAACATTCTAGTGAAGTGAATGAGGTGAGCAAGCTTAGGCTGTGTTCCAGAAAGCCTGTGTTAACACTGCTTATAGAACTACAGAACCATATTAATACGTTTAGAACGTTGTAGATGTGTTCTGCGATCTGATCCACTCTGATTTAGTGCTGCATATGGCTGGCTCAGAATTGGTGGTTTTATTTGGTTATTATGTCAAGCCATTGGTACGATATACAGTGGTGCCAAAAGTATTCAGACATTTTAATAAAGTTCTTTATATTACATCATTAAAAGTTTAATAAAATGATGTTTGTTTAGGAGAAAAACACTCAAACTGATGGTAAACTCTTTATGTGGAGCCTAGTGAGCATTTCTAGCATTACACAGGTGCGCTGTTATCATTGGGACGAGCTGCGTCTCAGAGCAAGAATGCTGATCCACCATGAATTTCTGCCTTTCGTATTGGGTAGCAATGCATGGACAGTGTGTTCTTACTTTGAGAAACTTGATAAATTATGCTGCATTGTCTTTGGCTTCTGAGGCCCATAAACAGCAGTGCTCTTTAGATGACAAGGCAGTGGGCCATAGAGGCCCTTGTCCATTAATCATGCTAATTTCATTAAGAAATGCTGAGGGGAGCTCGTCCCGCACCGGGCCCGATGCTGCCACTGCAGCAACCATGATCAATCCTCTGGCGTGTGGTCTCCTCCTCTCACCCAAACACGATTAGACTGTCTGCCTGCTCCTTCAGCTGAGACGCTACTTAATAGTTGTGGATTCCCAGTGAGCGTAGTTTGATGTGAATGAATGGGAGGATTTTAGCCTTTGGGAAAGTGCAGCTCTTTTGCAGGCCTAAAGAAGTGAATGAAACTGGTGCCTGGAATTTCAGGTTAAATGATCAGTCGAAACAGTGTCTACACAAAAAGCTTTTTTTCAGTGTGGGATTTCCTGCGAGAGGCACGGATAAACATGGCTGCCTTTTTAATTACTCAGCTCAGTCAACTGGCTCGGATTAGAAGACATTAAAGCATGTTTTCATTAACAAGGCGCTGGATTTGTATAACGAGATATTATTACATGTGGAAAAGCGTTCAGATTCTCTGCGCTGACTCTGTTTACTGTCAGAGGAGTCTCGCAAGCTGTCGTCAGGGTGTCTGGTGGGTTTCATCAGAGCCAGAGTTTAAGAAGAGCATCCTGTTATACCAAAAACATGACTGCAAAGTGTTAGAGGACGCACACGAGTATCACCGAGTCCTTAGTGAACAGGGTTTTTAAATGGCTGAATGTTAATTTTATATTTTTCTAGTCTTTTACGCATTAATTTCTTTAATTTTTAAACATAGATGAATGTGTTACCATAAAAAAATCCAAGAAAACACACCAGTACATCTTTCTGTTTTCTACATCGAACAGGTTTTAGGCAGTATTTTGCTAGCGTTACTGCTAACTGAGCGGCCTGCTGTGAGAGGAAGAGGTCAGTTGACCATGGGCAGACCCAGGGGTGGGATCACAGGAGCACTGGCCCTAGTAAAAGTCTGATTTACCCCTTAAGTGCCCTTCTGGTAATACTCACAACTAGGCATGTTGGCTGATATGCAGACTTGTTATTAAGAGCTGAACCACCATCTACAAATTACATTGAAATTTGCAATCATCGGGGTCCAAGCACTACATGCTCATGCAGTCAAATAATGGACAAATAATGAGCAGAGTGGCCTTATATTATGTATAATAATCATTGAGGAAAATGTAAAAGCAGATGTCTGCTTAATTTCATACATACTGATCATTTTACCTTGGTATGATAAGCAATATATTCTTAAATATTTGAAAAAAAAAGGAGTAAAATTTTTGACATGACTTATACTGGCATAGTTGTTGAACTGAATCTTCTATAGCAATTACTTCTTTCCTGTATTCCATTCTTAGCGTGTGCCAGAACGCTTCTTTTTTGTCTTAAAATGTCAAAAAAAAGTCTCCTGGGGTACCACAGGGGGTTGGTTTCTGAGCTTTACATAACCATGTCATATCATGGAAGAAGTCATATGAGTTGTCATGACAGATTATGACCAGTAATATCACATCATCATGTTACCGGTGGTTATCATATATAATAATGTGAGATGTCATGAACATGTAGCTGCTAGCATATCTGCTAATAACACTAGCATTATAGCTTTCATACTAGTTAACATTAACTTGGCAACCACTAGACAAAGTGATAATATTGTAATAATATTGATGCTGTTTGCATTTCAGTGCACTCATTGGTCATGTACTAGTGCTTGGTGGTTGTTTCTTCACCTGGAACAGTAAAAATTAATTAATGTGTTTTTGCTTTCTTCCCTTGTTTGTTAACCTCATGTTGGTAGGGATGGGAGATTATGAGGGCAACATTTAATAGTGTACAGCGCCACCTGCTGCTTTTCAGTCAGTCCGTGACTAAGTAAGAGACATTGACTCTCGTAGTCTGGCCCTGGTCCAGCAAAAATATGAGACGATTTTTGGCAAAATGCCTTGTTAGGAAAATGAGAGAAAGTTCTTGTAACAGAATATCACTTTGTTGGAATAGAAACCAGATGTAATTGACTACAACTTCGGATGTTATTGAATGTTGTTTACTTTAACACATGCTGAAGAGTTCATGAATAAAATGTGTTGCATCGACACCATTTTTGTCTTTCAGTTTAATCCTTTCTGATGTCTTGATGTAACATGTTATTCATGTCCAGCTGACTAATACAGAGCACCATTTATGTCAGTGTAGTAACAGTTTATATAGAGTAGCCGTACTGGATACAGTGTATTCATTTCTTTATATTTAAAGGCCTTGTATGTCTTCAGAAGCTCAGTCAGCTGTGCATAAGAAGACCACATGCAGTGTTTACAATTTTCCACAGCTTAGACAGTGCTGACCACTGTCCTGATAAACATTATCTCTCTCTCCTCTCTCTCTCTCTCTCTCTCTCTTTTTCAGCATACTCTGCTCCCGGGACACCACCTGCCAACCGCTCCTTCGTAGGAATTGGCTCTCGAGACCCTGCTAGTCTGTATCAGGCTCAGGTACTGAAACATCACACCTGCACCTGTCAGATACAACTACAGTTGCTTATCCAAACTCTTTCATTATAAGGAATCATCCAGAGCATATATGCACTTCAAATGTGCACACGATGCCTTTCGTTCTTACAAATATGAACCATCATTATGTATTTATAAAAATAAGCAAAGATTTAAAAAGGTTTAAAAAACAACATTTCTAAGAAATAAAAAATATTCAGGTACTAGATTATAATATTCATTTATGTCAAGGTCAAAAATAAAATAAATCAAGTTCTACATACTAATCCTGCTAAAATAAAAATGTTCTTATGTAAAACGTACTTGGTGTCATTATAAAAGACTTTGCCGTTGCTTGGAAAGATTTTATGCAACAAGTAGAAATGATGTTGAAGCTGAAGGAGCTTCCTGAAACGATCACGAAACCAGAGCTAATTGTCTCAGGTGCAACATGGAAGATTTCACAGCGCACTCTCAGACTAATGATATAGAGTTGCGAGATGAGTTGAAAGCAGCAGAAAACAATAAGCACTGAACTGCAAGAAGCACAGAGATGTGCAGCTGAAATTCACACACAAGCATTTAGACAAATGAGAACTGTTTTAGAACAATGTACTTTGGTCAGACAAAACTAAAATAGAGCACCTTATCAATAATTCAGCTCGTCATGTTTAGAGAAAGAAAGGATTTACCCCAAGAACTCCACACCCTTAGCGAAGCATGACGGTGGGAGAATCATGATATGGGGCTGCTTCTCTGCAAACAGTACTGAGGCAATGCACATCATCAAGAAAACATGAATGGAGCGATGTGCTGGTAGACATTACTGGTAGAAAATTAATCTCATAGGCCAAAAAAAGGGAGATGATGGACATTTCAGCTAGACAGCAACTAAAAACATACAACCAGAATAACTCAAGAGCGCGCTTGCATGTCCTGACCAATCTCCTGACTTTTTCCTAAAGGAAATATTATTCAGATTTGTGCTCAGACATCATACGGACCATAATATTTATGAAAAGAATCTAATTCTGTATATTTAGACTCATAATGGTTCGTGAGTCAATCAGGTGCACATGAATTAAATATGTAACATAAGTACAATTAGCTTGTTATTCATGTGGAAATGACGTGCAAATTTGAATTGTGTAAAATCCTTTTCTGCACATAATCCAGGCAGCCAGCACAGCGTTTCAATAACCTATATCATCCTTCCCTTAATGCCACTGAACTAACTGGAAAATTTCATATATTATACATTAAAAGACACCAAAAATGTGAGACATTTTTCAGAATGTTAAATTTTAATCGTTTTTTTGAAGTTAAAAAAAATATGGCCAGTATTAAGCAATATTTGTGGAAGTTCCCTCCCTCGTATTGAGCTCTCGAGCAGCCTGGCCTTGTGTTGGAGATTGGTGAAGCTACACCTCTGTGTTCAATTATGGATCAGAGGAGTGGAGTCGCACTCTGCTGCACACACCCTCCACCCTCGCATATCAAACAGCGCCGGAGTGGAGAGGAAGCCACACATAGTTTTCTCCTCGCACATAAGAAGCATTCATAAAACTTCGCCTGGGGCAGTGGATGCAGCATAATTCAAGATCTATTGATTCTCTCCAATCTTTCTTTTTGCTTTAGCTGTAAGCATTGACTTGTTGAGATTTCCATCTGCTTAGTCAGATTCTGTACAATCTCAGAGCTTAAAATCCCTACCAGTCTAGCCAGACAGTTAGCACATCTGCAACGGCACTTTCAAACACCACCTGCCCGAATATGTTCAGCATTTACATTTACGGTCTCCTATGGTAGTGAAAAAGTAGGAGACTCTTCGTTTATTTAATTTCATGTCAAAACAGCCATTTAGTACAAATTATTAATTTTGCAGGGGATGTTTCTGAGGAGGTTAGATAAAAGATAACCCACTTGCATAAGGAAGGAGACAGTCAAAGGAAAATAGGCAACAAACAGGAGTTTCTAAAACCAGAGTTCAAAAAATTAAAAGTTACAGAGAAAATGGGGCTCCTAACAACCACCTGGAAGACCTGGTAGACACCAAAACTGCCAGATAAACAGCACTTAAAGCTTTTATCTTTGAGAGGGAGGAGAATGTCAAGCTGCTTCAGAAGAAAAAAGGACACATTGAAGAAAATGTTATGGTTGAGGCTTCTTTTCCTGTTGCTGAAAAACAAATAATGGTAAAATGAATAATGGATAACTTAATAATAGTACTTACTGGCTGTTTTGACTAGGGATGGGCATTTCAGTCAAATCTGATTTTTCCAATATTTAAGGCATTGTTTGAAAAATATTGAATGCCCCCACAAACCCCCCTCCCGCAACTCCAACTAGTTAAAAAATAAATAAATACCACTCAGTATTACAAATACTCGCTCTCTATTAATGTACTAAATTAAACCCAGAACACAAATCCATAGTAGAAGAAACGTGGCTTTAAATTTATCCTGAGAATTGTGGAACTGTGTCAGTCTTAAGTTTAAGAAAAACTTTTTACCCCTCAGCTAACGTTACTTGGAGAGTCACACTGTATTTCACTTCATACCTTTTAGCTGGAAAACAGTGCGTTAGTGAAGAGTTAGTTAACTGATACTAAACGATAGATCCACATAATGATGCTTTATTCCGTTAAACCTATATGAAGAGTGCTTTTCTGCAGTGCTTCCTATGCGCTATAACTGTGCTTTGTGTCTGCTACCCAGTGCCAGAAAGAGACCCTCTGATGCTCTTCACACTGCTTTTCATCCAGTGTACAGTAGCCTTCAGCCAGCTGTAGATGTTTTCCCGTGCTTCGTATTCCTGTGTTTGTTCATTTTCTGCTTTTTTTTTTTCTGTGCTTACTTCTAAGGACTAAACAGGTAAAAAACTCTGACCAGAGGATGCTGTATCTGCACTGCCCTCTGGTGGAGTATAGAGTTCAGACATCTCATAGTTCTAAGCTGAGAATGTTGTTTGAGATAAGCTATTTTGCATATCAAAAATCCTGATTTACTATTTGGGTTTTTGAACATTCTGACCATGTGCGCTGTAAAATAAAACCTGGAAAAAAATGACAAAAATTTAGGCAGCAGGGGCGATAGTTTTCATATATAAGATATGTTTTCTTCATAAAAATCTGTAAAATTACAGTCAATACATTTCTTAGAAATACTGACTTTTACCATAATTTAGCAAATGCACTAGTTCAGCTGTGAAATAAAAGTGATCATTTCGTTTCTGTGAATTTACATTCTATTTCTGTAAATTAACAATTTTACATACATTTAACCTTTAAAAATTTTTTTACAGCACTTGGACAGTTAAAATCTTTTTTGTCATTTTGACTACAAATTAAATAACTTTTGCACCCATTTTTTACATGCAGTTTTTTCAGTGTAGCAGCAGTGCAGTGTGTGGCTGGACAGTAATGTAGATCCTCAGCTTGTTCCAGGTGCAGGATCGGGGGTTTCTAGCCACAAGCTGCTGCTGCATTGCAGTGCTCTCTGCTCTATAAAAAGTGCACCTCAGCGAGGCGTGGGATAGTGGCGAGTAGGTGTGTGTGTGCAGAGTACTTTACTATTTTACTCGTATATTTCAGGTGGACATTGTCACAGAGCTTTTCTGTCCAGACACTGATCCTTCTGGACAGACAAAGTGTAGGCACTCTGGCCAGCTGTAGTGGTCAGAGGAGCGAGGGACGAGAAAAAGAGAGGAGAAAAGGGGCGACCATGTGCCCCGTCCGGGATGGTCACGTCCAGAGCAGTCTGGTTGTTAGGGGAAACCAGACATGACGTAATGAGAAGATGAACTTGAGAACAGGGAAGGAAAAGTCCACGGGGGGCAGAGCTAATTCATGCCACTCGTACCTGCCTGGTGGAGGCGCTGGGAGCGAGTGCAGAGTGCTGTTCGCATTGATTATTCAGGCCTGAGTCGGAAATAGGTGCCTATATGGACTGCCCTCTTTCTTTCTGTCCTCCTCAGTCACTCGCTGGCCTCTTACTCTCACTCAGTAAGTGCGTTTACACGCGCAGTAATAATACACTCACTTCCTGATTTCAGATTATTCAAGTGGTTGTGTAAACAGCACTCACACTAGGATATCCTGTATCACAAAAAACATCAGAATGAAAGAAATCCTGGATTTCAGTGTAGTAACGCTCAGTTACGCTCAGAAAGAACCGGTAGACTGAATTCAACACCTGCTCCAACATAGCAAATACACTTTGAAAAATGTTAAAACATGATTTCATTTAGAATGAGGAAGAAAACCTTGTATCTCCATTTTTGCCGTTTTTCTCCTTCCTGTAAAAGTAGAGCCTTCTACTTGTACAGGAAGGAGCTATTTGACTCACATGCAAAGCAGCAAACTGCTCTTTCAGCGTGATTCATAGTTACAGATAATTTTGAAAACGTTGCTACTACCGGTGCTACCAGTGGGTCTGTTTTTGTTGCAGCAGTACCTGCATCATTGTAGCTGTCGATAAGTGGTAATGAGTGCATGCATGCATGTAATTAGCTATTCGGAGCAAGATATAGGTGCTGGATTTTTAAAAAACTGTGACATTACAGACATTATTATTCTGAAGAACTCTGAGTACATTGAGTCCAGTGTAGCCAACAATAATACACTGCAAAAAATAGTATCTTGTCAAGTGAAATTATCTTAATTCTAGTCTATCTATGTAATATTTCTTATTTTGAGATGGTTGCGCACTTATTATAAGATTATTAAGCTTATTTCTAGATAGTTTTCTACCTGTGATTTAATCAAGTAAAAGTATCTCACTATACTGGCAGATAATTTTGCTGGTTTCAAGCACATTTCTTAAAACAAGCAAAATTATCTGCCAATATAGTGAGATAATTTTACTTGATTAAATTACTGAAAAACAATTAAAAATGTTTGGAAATAAGTTAAGTAATCTTAAAGCTTACAACAGTCTCAACAGCAGAAATATTAGATTTATTGACTTGATTTAAAATAATTTTATTTGCCAAGATGCCAATTT